TTTCATAGTATAACGTATAGTATAATTTATATTTCATAGTATAACGTTTCATTCTATAAAATATAAAGCTATATTGTTAAACTCAGTAATGACTAACTATGCACAGTATTAGGGGATTACGTTTCGTTGCCGGGCAAAATCTAAAGAAAGGTCAAAGTTCATGCTCAATAAGCCAGGTAGAAAATCCAACAAGGTTCAGTCAGGTCATGATGATGAAGTCCTTTGGATGAAGGATGAAACATCTGAATAAAAAAAGTTTACGTTGAGACGTTTCATCCTTCATCCAAAGAACTTCATCAGTCCAAGGAGCCACAAACAAACTCAATCCCACAAGCAGCACACTCATAGTGGACCAACCAGTTTGATGGTGATTATGGTTTCTGGGGCTCACCCTCTCCACCGTCGACTCCTTTCAGGCAACCATAGCCAAAGTAGTTCAAAACACTAAAGTTCATGCACAACAATCCAGGTATAAAATCCAACAATGGTCAGTCAGGTCATCTGGATGGTTTCTTTTTGTGCTGAGATGTTTTGTCCTTCATCCAAAGGACTTCCTGAATCTAAGAAGCCACTAAACAAAACTGATTCCCACTAACAGCATACACAATAGTGGAATAAAAATAAAATAGTTTGCTGGAGCTAAAATGGCTTCTGGGGCCCGCCCTTTCCTCCAGGGCCCGCCCTCTCCTCCAGGGCCCGCCCTCTCCTCCAGGGCCCGCCCTCTACCTCGTCAACTTCTCTGAAACAGTCATGTCAAAGTGGTTCAAAACACCAAAGTTCATGCTCAATAATCCAGGTATAAAATCCAGCAATGTTTAGTTAGGTCATCTGGATGGTTTCTTTTTTTGCTGAGACGTTTCGTCCTTCATCCAAAGGACTTCCTCCAGGCGAGCCCCAGCAGAGAGGGCGGGCCCCAAGGGACCATTTTAGAACCAGCAAACTGTTTAGTGTTTTTCACTATGGAGTATGCTGTTAGTGGGAATCAATTTTGTCTGTGGCTTCTCAGATTGATGAAGTCTTTGGATGAAGGACAAAATGTCTCAGGAAACAAAAAAACATCCAGATGACCTGACAGAACATTGTTGGATTTTATACCTGGATTATTGAGCATGAACTTTGGTACCCTTTAAAAGATACATCTGGAAAACCTGATGACATCATTCTACAGCTACAAAATATCCCGTTTTTGAACCCGCACTCGTGAACAAAACTAGTTTGATGCCAGGTGATAAATGACCAAACTTCACTGAACTCCAGATCATTCTGAAGCTCTCAAAATGGAGAACTTGAAATTATGAATACCTTTATCCATCCATCATGTACTTGTTCCAGAGTCATGTCTTGAGGGCAGCAGCTTGAGCAGGTAGGTCCAGACACCTCTGTCCACAGAGTGCTCTGGGAGGACTCAAAGGTGTTCAGCAGAGAGACATAGTCTCTTCATCGTGTCCAGGCTCTTCCTTGGGGTCTCCCCCAGTTAAGGACATGTCCGTAAACCATCCTAGAGACGTCCAGGGGGAATTCTTACCAGATGCCTAAACCACCTCAACTGGCTCCTCTGGATGTGGAGGAGCAGCGGCTCTACTCCGAGTCTCTCCTGGAGAACTGAACTTCTCACCCTACCTTTTGATTTCATGCCCCAAGATACTGTAGGTTTGATCAAAATGGATTTTGGTATGCTAGGTGACAACCTAGAAACCTCTTAATCCACAAAAGACATGAAAAAAAAGTCAGGTACAAATCAAAGACTACGTAATATTTCAGTATAACATAACTATATACTTTTCTCATCATAAGCTAATCTTAGACTAAAAATTTAACTTTAAAAATTGCATTTCTTGTGACGGACCTTTTTGCAGATGACAATGAACACGCATTAAGTCAGGCTAAGATACGATCATACTGTAGCTCCCCCCTGTAGCTGTGGTAGAATAAATTGGTAGAATATATTGGTAGAATAAATTGGTAGAA